CGTAGGACAATCCTGCGTTTGAAAAACGTTAATTAAAACGCAGCCAGGACACGTCGGTCTACGGTTTTGTTGGTTTTACCTAAGACTAAAAGTAGTATACGGTGACTTCACCGGTCAGTGAACGCTGTACTTATTTTACTGAGTAATATATACCACGGAATTGATCAAAGCAGAAAGGACACTTTTGATGTAAACGTAAGCGTGATTTATATAATGGTGATTGATTTAAAATTTTTGACATTTTAGCTTCGAAGCGGAGTTGAGTTTTTTTATCAGATTTTAGATTCGAAAACTTCCTCTATTGTTATGGCATAGGTGTTTAATGAATTTCGGATTACACTCCATCGTTTGATGGTAAAAATGCAAATAAATATATTCTTTAAAAAGTTTGATTCCATTTCATCATTTCTATCGAGTTAAGACTAAACAAATCAACAGATTTTTTAGTGGTTTTCCACGATTTTGGGGAGTAATGCTTGTATGATTTGTGACCTATTGAGGTACAGGTAAAACTAATTAGATCAGCGGTGTCGTGACAAATTGTACTATTGTTTGGACTATTGGCTTATGGTTTCTTATAGCCAACAATGAGCAAGGAAGGAAGGTTAATTAAATCAAATTAGTGAATTAAAATACCCTGACTGAAGTATTTATGACAAAATACGTTTGAAATTTCTCCCAAGACTTTTAGATTATTTTTTATCCGTTCGAATTATTATAACAATTTGCGAGTAACTAATAATCAAACAAATTACTGAAACGAGGCAACTCGCTCAGAACATATTCGCCGGTCTTTGTTGTCGGATTCCATCAATACAGCGTCGTTTGTTCAGGGGTATGCTCTAGGCAATTTCCGAATGACAAACGGATATACCCGCTGTACTACCACACAAACTCGGTGTACCCGGTGACCCGCATACACAGCAGCCCCAGTCCACGCGCTAGTCTTTACTGCGCTGCTCGTTTGTACTTGTGTACATAATTATATACACACATAAAATCCGAAAGAAGCGTGTTCCGATTGGCGCCGGAGGATAAAAGCGATTGGAATTGATGTTTCAAAGGCGTCGTCAAGTCGTCGGCAACAGAGAACTCTATCATTACAGTGGAAAATCCGTTAAGTACCACGGATAGCTCGGCTGTTCGTTCCCCTCTGGACTCAATTATTCATTCGTGTCGCACGCGTGTCGGTCGCTTTTCATTGTATTATATATAATAATATATACATGCACAGTAATAATGGTTGCGAAAAATTTCCATACTCGCCGAGCAGACGTTTGAGTCATACTGGCAACAAAACGACTGGAAACGGAAGTCGGATTATTGACAATACATATATATATATAATGTGACCGGCACATAGACACGACGAAGCGACCCCTGCCACCTCCCCTTTTGCGCCGCTCTTTTTGCCGGGTCCGGATCATCCCCTCGGGGCCTTTTTATTGCCTGCGCTTTACACCGCGTGTCTATATGTGTGTTACGGCTCTTAATCATCTGTCGATAGACGGGAGGGACTCAATAATATGTGTTTCCAACTGACGGTCCGCAATATAATGTATATATAGATGAATAGTCTACATATATATATATATATATATATATATATGTATAATGCGGCGATTTAATGCTGACTTCCAGTATATCCGAACGACCTAACCGGATGGTAACGCGCGCACGTGTCATAAATTCTGAAGATCCGCAATGGTCTGGTCAACACGGTTAACACAACGTCATGCAAATCGAATTTGGAATAATAGCAGTATAAAAATCACTTTGCATTATAATGTTGTACGACAAAAACATATACAAGATGTCGTAAACAGGATCAACGTCTCGCAGCGTCAGGACGTAGCTGCTCCCTAGGAGCAGTAAAAAAAAAAAAACTCACCCTCGGTTCATTTGCAATTTGTCCTCTAAACACAATTACGGATCTGCTTGGGCATCTTCTGAACACCTCCTCGGAATGCTCTGCTACGTTTCTCCCTCGTCCCCGGTCCCCAATCAGTTACACACACCTCGCGCACGTATAATGTTCCCATTTTATATGCTGTCGACCCCGTGCGTGACCTGGGATTTAAACATTCGCCCGTAATCTATGCCCGTTCGTCATGTACATTAAGGCGAACGTCATGCCAAAGCCCCGAGCTACTTGAGTTCTGCATCTACATAACGCCGAATAGACCTAATAGAACGGTATGGGGCAGCCGGTAGTGTCCTCTGGGATCCTTTTGCTTCCGGTGTTTGGGTTATGATTGAAGAAGTTCAGACAAAATTCCTTCCTCTTGCTGTTCGCAGAATCGATATCCCCAGTTCTCCGTGAAATTATTCGTCTGCTTTTTATACCTTTTCAATCAAATAATATTGATGCTGCTTAGAAATTCCTGTTTTCAGTCATGAGCATTTTCCAGATCTCGCCCAACACTCTTCTACAGATCTTACAAAAAAAAAAACCACCCACTCAGTATTCGTGCCACAAATCCTTTATATCCTTTATTTAAAATAACCGAAGAGTTGTATTTAATTACATAATATATATATTGACATTATATCGTTCAATAACGGGGCAAAGCTTATTCTCGGGTGTACAACAAAATTTAAAAAGAGACCATGGCCAAACCAGTTTTATTGTTAGTAGCATATACATTTATATACTACTATTGTTTTTGTTGATATGAAAAAAGGTTGTAAAATGATAACACGAATTCATAACAAAAATAAGAGGGTTAAAAATATTACCACAATATGTAAATTCCTTTGCCGGTTCAACTTTTATGACAAAATGTGCTCGTCAGAGCAGTTTTCTTCGTAGACTCAAGTGGTGTGTCCTCTTTTATTTACAAATAAGGAAAATGTTCGCTTCCAATTTATACAAAATGAGATGCAATAATTGGTGACTTTAGTAGACACAGTATAACATTTTTAGAAATCAATACAATATTGTTGTACCTCTTCTTCTTATTCAATGGCATATAAAAACCATTCAGGCCCTTCACCGCAACCACCCCGTCTCAACACGCTTTTCTGTCATTAGCTAATTCTTGCTTCTTTCCATAGGGGTTTCAATTATTATTGTTGTACCTACACTAAACATCCACTTATTTATAAGAAACAAAGGGGAATTATTTTTTGATTATTGTTCTTTGAAAAATCTGATGGCGCGGGTGAGAAGAATTGGTTTCATTGACTGTAAGATAATGTCATATCCATTGTTTTTAACGGAAATAAATCTATATTTTGGAGACACTTTAAAAAAAAGGGGGGAAAATTACTTTTAGAAAAAAATAGCGATCACATTCTTTTAAAGAGTCGAGTCGAGTTTCGGGTTGATCACTCAGTAGCACAAAAGATAATACAAGGTATCATCAATTATACCAACTTGGACATAATGGTAGGGTAAAAAATTATTTTTAATGCAACAAGACACCGCGGAAAATGTCGGAGGCATCGTTGGAAATTAATATGTTTAACGAACGAGCGGAGACGAACTTTTCTCATTTTTATAAACAACAAAAGGAGATATCCGAAAATGTTAAAGTTCGAGGGGAATTAGGTTAATGAGGCGTGTAATTAAAGTTTCGGAAAAACTTGTTTGGGAGAGATTAAAAACTTTATACACGACTAGAAAAACGTGACCATTAAACGTGGGGCCTTCGCTATAAGATACAATATATATAAATGATACTCATTTTCCGATGTAACTCTTTGAACATTATTTCATATCGACATAACAGTGTTGAAAAAATGAAAAATCACCAAAAGCAAACCTTAACACATTGTAAAATAATGCAACAGATCTGGCAACAGCCTTATTACTGTGTCTACTGCGTTGTCTTTTGCTATGTGCGCTGACTTCTTGCAATGCTAACTTTTTAGTGTTCTGAGTAAATACAGTGCTAACTCGAAACTTTTTACTGTATTTGTTTTGTAAGTATTTCATAACCGAGTTTCACAAAATAGCGTTCTCTAAATTAACATTTTTAGCAGTTTTCTCCAATTCTTATGGGATTTTCTCAATTGCCTTATAAAAAAAAATGACGTCTAGTTAGATCCAACTCAGTATAATTCATGACTGGGCAAGTTGTTAATATTTACTTTAACTTCATTGAGCTTAATAAAATACTTTTAATTTAACTACAAGTTGAAAATAACTCGGTTTGAATTAATTATTAACTTAATGAATCTTAATGAAGTTTATTTGTATGGTAAAATGGATTGACACCTGCTTTCACGCCTATAATTTGTCTTAGATTTCAGACTAACTATAATTAGTGCATAATTAGGACGTATATTACTTTAAATAATTTAAGGGGTTTTATTACTTTACTAACACAATTGCTTTTAATATTTTAAAAGTCAGCATACAGTTAGCATACAAATTTGGGGTTGCTAGTTATACCTAATGCACCAAAGTTTAAAAATAGGTAATAAATGTGTTCATAGTTTGGGACATTTCTCTGATGAAGAATAGTTATTTAGTTGGCATAAACACACAAACATTATTCATCATTGTAAAACTACTAGTAGATTAGGTTAGGTTTTCTACTCTCTTTTTAGCTCCGTTAATCATAAAAAAAAACCAAAACAAAAATGACATTATTTTCTGATTATGTATTATAGCCGGGAGATTCTCTTTTATTTTGATTTTATGATCAGCTCTCAGATTCGCAGTTATGTAGAAGTGAGCTCAAAGAAGTTTTAAAAACGTGTACTGAACCGTATAAAGTCTCGCCGTTTTCGTATAAACGCGCGCGAGGTGTAATATAGTTTTAACTTTTAAAACTGATCAACCGAGTATGTGTGTATATACTAAGAATATATATGTTCCACGATATTAAGCATACCGGATGCACCGAGTTTATGGGATAAACTTACCTAATTGGAAACTTTCACGGTACACTCGTTTGTTTTGTATATACCGCAGAGACCTCCTAACCATACTTATATATATTATGATAACAATATAAACACACAGTAGAATGTATATATTGTGTACTTACCGCTGATGAAAACCAGAAGAATTACAGAACATGTTATAAATCGCTGGGTCGCTGTGCCAGAAACGTGTGCGGGGAATGGCAGGCGAAAACTCAGCTTCATGTTGCTTGGATTACGATGTTGTGTTTCAACGGCTCAACAGTCCACGCGATCCTCTTCGCCTGATACAGACAGATAAAAACACATGTAGTTTATATTGCTACTGGAAATTAGAAATAAAACAACATATATATGCGAAACGGTACAAAAAGCTATACACAACAGCTGTACAATAGCAACACATTTACAAATTACACTTATCCTTCGCCTCGCCCTTTTGGGGTCGGCGTCTTTAATCCCTATACAATAATCATTCAAAGCGATATCTCGCATCCTTTACAAGCCAAGCTCAATTATTATCTCTGGCCATCTTTTTTTTTTTGTGTGTCTTTCTCTATCTCTTTTTTTTCTTTTCTATACACAGCCACTACTGTAGTAGAACTGTCTGAGTTTAGTTTCTTTCCCTGTCTTCTCTCTCTCTCTCTCTCTCTCTCTCGACGACCTCGGTTGTTTATGCGAGTTCGGGTCGCTTAGTTTTGAGTGAAACGTCCGGGTTTGTATTTGTAAAATAAAGCAATCTCGCGCTCTGTGAGGAAAAGTAATGTCTGGTATGTTGTTAATGTCGAAGAGGGGTGGTTCTCTTAGGCTCTGGAGTCTAATTAACGTGGTCACGCACAAAACGACGACGGAGTTCCCCTTCATCCGGGCTGCCGTTGTTTATCTCTGCCGGGTTACCTATGGCAATTTGTTTTACTCTTTACTCTCGGATGCTGCTAAGGCGGGCTCTGGTTTTCAACGACTCGGCCTTGGTTGTCGTGCAATTTACGCGAGACGCAATCAAAACTTTAAAACTAACAGTTTTCTTGAAGTACCAAGATTCCCGGTGAAATCACCGGTAGGACGAGCGGAGAGAGTATGATTTTAAATAATAAATGGAATTTTGTTGGACTTGTACGAAAACGACACCGAAAGCGTTGAACGCAAATAGTAGAGAGCATTCTTTGACACAAACAGTGTAGAGCACGTCCTAATTCGAATTGATTTTATTATGTTTGAAGTGCAAAGGAATGTATAGCGTTGTACCGAGATAACACAATTTCTAACATTTCTCGAAGGCGTCCAATACAATCCACTATATTATTATTTTGCGATGGCAGAGGGGAAAAAATGTATTATCAAGTCGGAGCTAAATACACACCTGACTTAACAGCATATAATGTGCATTCCTTGTCGACAAAGTACATTACAATACAATTAAATGCCACGAATTTAACGGACCATTTCAGACGATCTATGATTATCGAAAATCCACAAGGCTTAACCCAGTTAAACTAAAATGACATAATATTCATTCAATTCCATCGCATCTAATAATAAACAATATAATTAATAATCGTTGATGCCGAGAAAAACCGAGTACTGTGCAAACTGTACGAAGAGGTATTACGGAAAGACATCAAGTGGTCTGTGCAACCGCCTTTACTGTTTATAAATATCACTCGTGTAGTGTACGAGGTACTTCCAAGTTACTATACATATATATAAGCAAAAGGGTTTACAGACCTCTCAACCGACAACTGAAGGATTGTCCCTGGTTCTTGTATCCAGGTCCAGGAAATTTTTCCCATAGCTTTCATACTTGTGACCAGTCTGGACTTATATTCAATGTTTTACCATATAAACCTCTAAACCACGCTAAGTCTGTCTCGAGTACCGTCACAAGCTACTCGGTAGCTATGGGCAACCGACAAGCCTGAAATCAATTTAATACGTTTTGCGTTGATTTGAATAAATAACGAATTTCGTTAGCTCATCGTTATTAAAAATATGATTTTTTTTGTTTTAATAATCGTTATTAAACTCATTAAAGTTGAACGGTTTCGAACAGTTGAATATGACTTTAAATAGTATTGTCATATGAATTTGAACGATGCGTTTTGTATCAATCATTCAACAATGGGACTTCGCATAAAATGTAAAAAATATTTGCGTTGTAGATTAAACCACACTAAAGAGAGCTCCAATTGTGTTAACTGTGTGCTTAGGTTCTATAAGGAAAAAACAATTTCAAAACAAGGTATGGTTTTAGGCGTTTACGCGAAACAAAAAACTGGAGAACGAATGCGAAACGGAATTGTAAACGAATAAGTTATATCAAAAACAGGGTAGCAAAAAACAACTTTTGTATTTTTATGTTATTGTAAACAAAACAAACGAGATCGTATTTATTTTTCTTCATTCAAAGCGAATTTTATATATTTTTTTTCTTGTTTCAAATACAATTTAGTTTAATTATTAGTTTTTTTAATATTATTATTATTTTACTTTGAACATTAATTAAATCACCGATCTTCCAAACGACATAATAACATTAAAAAGTATTATATTCTTTTTTAAAAAATCCGATACAACTTACATAGTATATATTTATGTAAAACGTGTGTCCCGAATAATCCTGTTTGGCGGTTTTGTATATTTATATTGTTCTGTATATAATAACGAGAGTGCGTATCGAGTGTATACCTACTTTGAGTTGGGCTTTGGACCTTTTTTCGGGGAAAACCAGTGTGTTATCTTTAATCTTGGTTAATAACAATTCGATCTGGACAACACCGACCGAAATCCTGTGGCGAATTTTCGCGGGTATCTTTACAATAACTCGCGTGAAAATGGTTTATTTGGTACAAAGTAACACATTTCGAAAAGTCCTACGCGACAGATAAAATCCATTTTACCGGGGGGGTAGTTTTTGTTTTTGCACCAAAAATATTTATCAAAAGGGTTCTGCCACGGTTAGCCGTACCGCTATGAAAAAAAACCGACTAGATATAAAAGTATTATGCAGATAAAAATGCACGGTTTGTACAATAATAATATGGTGTGAGCGAATTGCAAATGAAACGTTCCTTAATTCCGTTTTTTGAATGTGTCCAATAACTTTCAACTAACAACGCCTCTCGTTTTGTATATTTCACATTATAATAATACAAATGCAATGAAACGTTACGATTATTATTGTTGGCGAGATTATTATTTTTTTTCGTTAATAAAAAAAGAGACAATTGCAAAAATCCTTAAATGACATAACCCCTCTCCTACGCGTAGTTATGATTATTGTTTAGTAAAATTGTATTTTTTTTTATTACTCCGTTTGTAATGAAAAAAATCATAAAACCAGCGCAAAACTCCTTCACGCGATCCAGTCGACGGGTTTCCTTCAGAGGTGTTGATGTAAGTAATGGAATCGTTTTAACTTTTGGACGTCGTTTTCGCGTTTAGGATAAAAGCTCTTCGGAAGCCTTTACACGGCTTTTGCACGTCAGCCGCTGTCGTTTAAGTACCCCTTTGGGAAAGTACAAAAAAAAACCACCTATCTTATGGTTTTTATTTTTATTACACACGTCATCCTCTCGTAACTGGTCCTACTTGAAAATCGTTAACGACAAACGCACAATAGCTTGTTAGAAAAAATTGATTGAATTATATAAATAAAACCGTCATGGTATGGTTCCTGAAAATGAACGTTCAGGGTAAACAAAAATAGACGTGCCTCTATTAATTGACAATAATATTATTAATATTATAACCCAAAAGCAGAATTTGGTCATCATTCAAACAAGTTTTCCATTTAAATGAAACGCCAAATAAAATACTTAAATAATATTTTGTTTAATCATTTATTTTTTCAATTTTTATCACAAAATTGTTTGTTTTGAAATACTGTTTTTTTTATTATTCGTCAACCCTATTTATTTATAATTTAGGTACAAATTGGTTTTTTAAATCTTTATCTATTAGTATTTGTGTGAATGTCTAAATAATAATAATAATCATTTTTTAATTAGTTTAGATTAAAATGGATAAAAATATGTAGATAATAATTTGTTTAATTAATTATTTATGAAATATATTTGAAATAAATTACAAATGATTTAAAATAATATTGTATTTATAATTAATAAGTGAAATAATTAACTTTTGTTTATTGAGTTTCTCATATCATTCACTCGTAAAACACTATCTATTATTATATATTCTATATAATTGTAATCTATTATATACATTATGTAATTAAAATTTTACCTAATACTGTTTTTAATTTCGATATAATACTATCTATAATAACACTGTCTATACCCATTATCAATTTTAACATTCATTATATTTTGATTGTTTTTATAATGCTTAATATTTCCTATACAGCATAAAAATGTACTTAGTTATGTTTTTGTTGAGTTAATGTTATTTTTTATTAGCTCGATACAATATTTCTAAATATTTTCCTAATTTAAATATTATTCAGAGCTTTAACGACTTTTGATACTAAAACGGTAGCTTACTTATTTTTCTGACTTCAAAGTCAAGAATGATCTATTTAAAAGAAAAGTACACAAATTTTAAACACTTATTTATATTTATTTATTTTAGAACTTGGTTAATCCCTACTAATGTGTGTACCTTGTGAAATGTACATTGTGTAAAACAAGGATTTGGTAGATTTGCATACAATAAGTACTTAAGGCGGCGTAGCCCAATCAATAAAAGTCATTCTATCGTCATAATATTGTATACATTTTGTATTTTAAGCTTTTCAATGGTCGAAAATAGTCGGTTCGAAGCATAAACTGATATAATATTTAAAATTATACTAACTTAGCCGCTTTTGTATGCTACTACGGTCGTTGCTTAAAAATGCATTCCTCTGTTGGTTTTTGTCCTTTTTATTCTAATTTCCTCTGTTTTCCGATAGAGATGAAAATTGTTACAGTTTTATTTTTTTTTTAATTCTTATAATTTATTCCGTTAGGAATAATGTAAAACAACGGCGTTTATCGTCATGGCGGCCCCTCGTCGAAACAGAGAATTACCGCTACTGGTACCGCATAATAAAATTGCTTTATTCCCCACGGGTCGGGTATGGGTCTCGTGAAAAGTCTGCCGGGTATTGTGCGCCCTAAAAATGATTTAATCTGTTCGTCCGCTGAGACCAAACGTCCTGCGGATAATAATTCATCGCAACACTTTTGAAAAAAAAAAAAAAAAAAATACCCTTAAAAAGCTGCTTAACATTTTATATTTTACATGCCACGATTGTCAAATCCATCTCAACCGAGAAATGGAT